TTTTAGTAATTTTATGGTGTTGGGTCTTTATTGATGGTGTTGCATGGCTGCTTTTAATTGCGTTTAGTAAAGTGACAGAAAGGAGAAATTACCTAAAGACAGAATTTATAATTAAAAGGGAAGCAGAGCACAAAGATTTGGAAAATTTGCAGAAACCTGGCTCTGTGGTAGAGAATGAGAGCATTTTCAGGAGAAAAATTCAAGCATGCAGCAGATGGACTGGTCTCTAAAGACATTAGCATGGCTATGAAGCAGCCAAGTCAATGACAGAAAGGCCCTGAGGGCATTTCAGAAGTCTCCAGGGGGTCACCCCTCCTATCACAGACCCAGAAGCTTCGAAGGATGAAATTATTCCAGGGGACAGACTAGGGGTGCCACTGCCCTGCACCCCTGGGGACACTGCTCCCTGGATAAAGCTGCCTTGCCTCAAGCAGTTCCAAGTGTGGTTCATGCAGCACCTCATGATAGTACAAGCTGAAGCTTTGGCCATGTCCACGTTGTCTATTAAGTCTGTAGACTGTCAGAATGCAAGAGCAAGGGAGGCGTGGCAGCTTCCACCCAGATTTCAGAGGACGTATAGAAAAACCTGGAGGTCCATATTCCCTCCCTTTTTCCTTTCATTAATTTTCCCAGGGGAAGAGCTCTGGTTTAAACTGATTGGTGATTATAAAAGAAAAATGGGCATGTACACTTCTGCCCCTTCCTCTCCTATTATGTTTGGGAGTGAGTGGCTCAAGGCAGCTTTTATTCTTTGCTTCTTGGCAGAGGGGGAGGATCTGCCATAACTATGCAAGTCTGCCTAATTTTGGCGGTACGTCTCAGGGAGCTCGTATGCATGTATATATATCCTTCAACTGAATCTTTATCAATGATAAAAGTGACATTTTGGTCCTCATGAGCCTTACGCCTTTGTCTTATTTCTCAATCAATTTGGAACTCAGGTGAGAAAGAGGGATACTCAATAGTGAGCTGACTTAGAGACCTCAGAATTGAACACAACTGGCATGGAGTATGCAGGGGAGATAGGCATTTCTTGAGAAAACTAAAGAAATATAAACTTATAAAATCTAAGGGTAAAAAATCAAAACAGCCAACAGGGAATATAATAGATGAACGTTATCTACTTTTGGGAGGGGGGAGGTAGTGAGGTTGGTCAGAAACAAACTCCTTGAGGAAGTAGCCTTCCAGCTGAGCTACAAAGGACAAGTAGGTTAAATAGGCAAGAATGAGGCTAAATAGTTTTCTGAGAATAGAATAGAGCGAGTGCAAAGGCCCCGATAACCAAAAGGAGGGCGTCATATTCCAGGGTCAGTTTTACTTGAAACATGAGCAGAGAAGAGGTGCGAGGTGATTCCGAAGAGGCAAAAAAGAGCCAGATCATCGAGGTACTTGCAGACTGATGGAGTTTGGATGTGTTGTCCCCCCAGAACTCATGTGGAAATATAATCCCCAATGTGGTGGTGTTGGGGACTGTTTGAGTGAGGGGGTGGATCCCTCATGAATGTATTCATGCTCTCACTTGGGGGTGAGGGTAGTGAGTGAGTTCTCACTCTGTTGTTTAAAAGACCCTGGCACCTCCCTTCTCTCTCTCTTGCTTCCTTTCATTATGTGATTTGCTAGGACCTGCTGATGCCTGCCACTTTCCACCACTAGTAGAAGCAGCCTGAGGTCCATGCCAGATGCAATTGTCCCAGAATCGTAAGCCAAATTAACGTCTGTTCTTTATAAATTACCCAGTTTTAGTTATTCTGTTATAGCAATACAAAAATGGACTAATACAGTATTTGAGAGGTACATTAATTTGGGGGGTTCAGGGGTGGAATGATATAGTTTGGACATGTTTCCCCCTCAACTTTGTCCCCCCAAAGCTCATGTTGAAATCAGATTCCCAGTGTGGCAGTGTTAGGAGCTGTTTGGGTCGTGGGGGAAGGTTGTCTTTTTTTCTGATTATCTTTAGGAGGTTTGAGGAGAGGTTCCCCTTGATAAAGGTACTGTTGATTCTTAGTTACAAGGGTATCCTATAAAGAAAATAATTTCTTTTAAAATTACCTCTTTATCACACATGTATAGCTGTTTAGTGCTTCTACTCTTTTTTAGTTTTAAATATTTTCTAATTTCCATTATAATATTTTTGTTTTGGCCGATGTTATATTTTTATAGTTGTAAATTGGTTGATTTGTGGGAAAGAGTGACACTGGAAACTGTCTATTCTGCCATCTTGACCAGAACCAGTGTAATTGTTACTTTTGAAAATAAAATTTTTAAACTGATATTCTAAAGTAAAACTTGAAAATTCTTGGCTTCTACAAAATTTCAGTATAGAATGGATTAAAACATGGCTACCAGGGAAGAATCGATAGGACAATCTCACAATGCCTTCCAACCAACTGCATCTTTTAACACCCAGCTTATAGTGTTGATAGGAATCACTGATTTTTATTTATACAGTTAGAAAAATATGTAAATTTATTGCAAATGCATGTTAAAGATCAAGTTCCTACCACAAGTTGGAGAATTCATTGCTTTCAGACAAGGAAGCCATCTCTAAGATAGGCCTCAAGTGCTACTACAAAGCATGTGCTGATGAAATTAAATTCCACCTGCTAAATCTCTTCTCCAATGATGAGATGAAAGTAGCTTCCCTATTATTTTGTAAACCTCACAGGTGCAATTCTACAACATTCTTTTATTCGGATGTATAAACTGTCTTGAGCCAGGCATCATATCCCACCAGAAATGGAAGTGTTGGGCGTCTCCTAAGGACTCCTGCTCTTCAAATCTGGAGTAGGAACTTCAGCAGCCACCGCAGCAAACCATATTCTCAGAACCAGCCTTCTTCAGACACCTGATATGAGCTCAGTCATCCGCATAATGAGCTGCCAAAGAAGAAACGGAATCCAGCTTTATTGGAGCAACTATCTGCCTGGCACCTGCTTGGCACTGGGTTAGTGACCAATGACACTGATACAATTGGGTAGCAATCATAACAAACAAAAGGTACAGTGTGTTTCTTACAAGCCCCCCCCCACCCCGCTTTTAAAATCCTTTTCTCGTTTATTGCCTAACAACAGACTTGAAAAGGAATAAGAGGTGGCCCGAATTCATACAGACATCCATGATCCCGCCGTAGCCACAGGGTGACCATCTTCATCCCCATTCTACAGACGGACAGCGGGGCTCAGAGAGTCCTTACGTGTCCTATCCTCCCGCGCCCTGTCTTTACTTGGAAAGTAGCTCCAGTACACCCTGGAGCAGGACACCACACTCACTGGGGCGAGGAGGGTCCCACATCTGTCTGCCTCACGAGACAGCGGGGTACCGAGTCTCAAAGCGGGAACGAGGCGACATGGATCTGGGATCCCTCCGTCCCCCCACACCCCAGGGAGGCTCAGCCCCCACCGCGGGGCACGCGCACCCTCAGCTGAGTCCAGACACCTGAAGGAGGTACCTGCTCACCTGCAAGTGCCACGACGGTCTGTAATAATAAGTCGTCACTGTCGCCATTATGACGTCAAGTTACTATAGCAGCCGCCACGCACTGGCTCGTCCTCCACCACGGACATGCCTCCGCACAGACCTCCCTTCTGGGCACCTGCTTTTCCCTGAAAGCAAAGCACCTTCACACTTAAGGTTAGCACTTGAGGAAGCATAATAGCTAGAGGATCTAGACAGGTACCCAGTCAACTGACGGAGGAACTCTGCCCAGTTTGGTGGAACAAAGCATGTCCCTGTTGTCAGGAATTTTATTAGCTCTAAAAGTGATGGTAAGGGAGTACTAGCGGGACACAGGGACCCAAGAAGATATCTTGGAGATAAGCTGGACCTTTGAGGGTCAATATGTCAAATTCACACGCCATGCTAAGCAGGTAGCCATCCGTGGCAGATAACTAAGAGACTGTCTATAATCGTGTTCCTGAATAATCTAGGAACACAAAAATGTCATTTAAGGAATCTTGGAGCTTTTTCAGGGAGACAGGGCTATGCTAACATAACAGAGTAAAAGAACGACGAGTTTAACTGGGAATAGAACACTGCCACGGGGATCCGCATGCCATAGTGAACCATGTCCGTATTCAGAGAGGTAAAGCAAGACAAGGGTTTTGAGGAAAACGTGATGGAAGCTTATTACGTTATTGTTTTAGGCTACAAGAATCAATAGAGTCATGCCTGTCTGAGGTTGGACAGACAGTTACTAGGCAGATGTCCTCACAGAAGTATTTTTTTGTGTAAGATTGTGATAGCCTCTGTGCAACGTTGTGGTTTTGTAGAGTCCATTGTGATCATTTTTATTAGGCATTCGTGCATGAGAACCCTTCCTTCATGGCCTTCCTTGACTCTATTTGTCAGGGTTTTTTGTTTGTTTGTTTGTTTGTTTTTTAACACAAGTGATTCCATTTTGATTCTGACGATTTTCACAGCTAGAACACTATACTTATGTAGTAGGCAGAAATTTATCTAATTGAATCATATATTGTGATATCCTCGGGAATTTTTTAAATTGACACATTGTAATTGTACATATTTATGGGATACAATTAGATGTTTCAGTACATTGTATATGTTGTATGATGATCAAATCAGGGTAGCCTATCCATTACCTTATGCATTTAAACATTTCTTTGTGATGAAAACATTCAAAAGCCTCTTTTCTAGCTATTTGGTAATATGCAATACTTTACTGTTAACTATAGTCATCCTACTCTGCAATAGAACACCAGGATTTATTTCCTTTTATTTAATTGTAACTTTATATCCATTGACCAAACTCTCCCATCCTCCCCTCATCCATCCCCTCCCCAGTCTCTGGTAACTACTGTTCTACTCTTTATTTCCATATCAAGTATTTTTTTAAAAAATATTCTATGTATTTTTTTTATTTATTTTTTATTTTTTATTTTTATTTTGTCAATATACAATGTAGTTAGT